ATCCAATCTGCTTAGGCATGGCTGATAAAAGGAAATACGGATAGGTCTCTGGTGATACAATAGTGAATAACTGTTATCAGGACTAATTGTGAGGGTTGGAACTGTAAAGGCAAATGTTTTGTAGCAAGGAGGGGAGTGATTAACTTTGTAGTCTAGGAGCGTAGGTCCCTAGGACAATCAAGGGAGAAGAGCGAAGAATGGGACCCTACCCAGACAAGCGGTGACCTGGAGAGATGGAGCAGCTGGGGACTTTAGACCCAGAGAGTGAGAGGGGCTGTGTGATGACGACTGGGGGGGAGGGGGGGAGGAAGACTTGCAGGGTATATCCTTTGGTTGGTTGATGATGCATGGAAGGGATTGTAACCATGGCAATGCAATGATATACAACAGGAGGAATGTAAAACTAATGTTCTCCCATGTAAACTATCACATAATTCACAATAAAACATTAAAAAAAAAATTAGCCTGCTATGTTTGTTCAAACATGTGGCACTGTGGGTTAATGGGCTGCAAAGTAAGTTTGAACTACAAGGTCTACAGTTCAAGCTCAAGAGGCACTCATCGGAAACCCTATACGGGGTCACATGAGTCAGAAGTGATTTGATGGCACTTAACAACAACAAAATGTGATGGCTGGAACTGTGGTTGCCTTGGTGGGGCCAGACCACATTTTTTTGAATGACATAGATGGTTTATGGGCTATATGTTCCCCATCCTTACTTTAATGGCTAAACCGCAGTGTTTTTTAAAGAGGTACAAGTGAAGTATTTTACAAACATAGTGCTCAAAGGGCATCTATTAGCATTTCCCAGAACTCATATTTTGTGGACTATTTGGAAAACACTGATTTGAATGATTGTTGATATTTGAACTAAAAAAACTGAAAAACAAGTTAAGGCAAAAGCAAGAATTTCTGGCTCATGGGAATCCAGAGGCAAGTAAGTATCCTCAGTGTAACTTTGCTAGGTGGTCTATTGACAGCAGGGCTTCAGGGAATTGTTGTTGTCGTTGTTGTTAAGTGCCATCGAGTTAGTTCCGACTCATAGCCACCCTGTATAGGGTTTCCAAGGAGCAGCTGATGAGCTTGAATTGTCGACTTTGCAGTTCAACTGACTTTACAGTGCAGCGCATTAACCCACAGCGTCACACCAGGACTCCATATAGGCGATTAGAGAGAGTTTAAGTGCTTAAAAGCATACCTCATATTTTAGACAGGATTCTAGTAAAATGGAATTTAGAATGGAATTCTCAATTTCTTGTGGAGACTATGAGCAAGAAAGGGAATCCAAGAAAGAAGACAAGTAGTCAGCAATGGGGTGTCACGCCAGATAATATGATGCAACTCAGAGCTAGACTGTCCTGCCAGGCTACATTTGTGGCTCATGGAATTACAGAGCTATCAGTAAACATTGCTTTCAACTTCTCCAGCAGATGGTAGAAGACTAGTCAATGGTATACATGCTGTCCTGGTTTTAACTCAGGTATTTGGGATTTTTTTCTGTAAATATAGATACAGTGTAGAAATCTAGGCAAGACCACCAGAGGATAAATTAGGAAAAAGTTTGCAACACAAGTTCTTGGTGTAGTCTGGGTCCATTAAATTCCATTATTTTTAAAGGCTTACACTATGAATCAGAAAACTCATACAATCTTTTCACTTAATTGCTGTTATTCAAAAGGTGTTTGAAGCCAGCAGGATGCTCATAGGACTCCAACAGGTACTTTAAAACCTAATAAGAATAACTAATATGTGTCCAGTCCAAGCTGGTAAGGCCTGTCATAAGAAACAATACACTAGAAAGAGTTCCCTTTCAAGTAAGGTAAGTTAAGCCAGCCACAAAGAAGTGTTTAGTATAATTAAAGAAAGTAATGCAGCTACAACTTAATTAATATGAACTATCTTGAAATACCCAAGCCATGGTATTTTCAATAACCTCATATGGATATGAAAGCTGGACAGTTAATAAGGACAATCATAGAAGAATTGATGCCTTTGAATTCCGGTGTTGGAGGAGAATACTAAAAGTGCCATGGGCTGCCAAAAGAACCAATAGATCTGTTTTGGATGAAGTGCAGCCAGAGTGCTCCTTGGAGTCCAAGATGGCTAAACTTTGTCTCCCATACTTTGTACATATTGTCAGGAGGGACCAGTCACTGGAAAAGGATGTCATGTTTGGTAAGGTGGAGGGTCAGAGAAAAAGAGGAAGACCCCCAATGAGATGGATCGGCCAGGTGGCAGCATTGATGGCGTCAAGTGTGGCAGCAGTAGTGAGGTTAGCCCAGGATCGGACATTGTTTCATTCTGCTGTGCATGGGGTCGCTATGAGTCGGTTCTGACTCAATAGCACCCGACAACAACAACATCTTGAATTAATAAACTTTTGAGAATTCCTTCCAAAAGTAACTTTCCACATTCTTATTGTTATCATAGTGACCCTGTACAAGGTTTCCAAGGCTGTAAATCTTTACGGGAGCAGAAAGCTTCATCTTTCTCCCATGGAATAGCTGGTAGTTTCAAACTGTTGACCCTGCGGTTAGCAGCCCGATTTGTAACCACTACGTTACCAGAATTCCTTCTTACAGGCATCCAAAAAAACCCAGAAAATCCTGCTGATAGTAGATCTTACTCATATGGCTATTGACTAAGTGCAGTGACTAAAATTCCTAGACCCAAGATTGCATGTTGTGTAAAATCATAGAAACGCAGTCAACGCTTCTGAAGCATTTTTGAAAACACTGAGTTCAGAGCATTGGAGATGTAAGCTGTTCCTGTCTTCAACAAGAAATTAAATAAATGCATAAAGCATCTAATAATTACAATTTTTAATTTAATCAATTTAATATAATAAATCAAAAAGGGTATTATTTTGAAGAAGCAAAACAGAGCCATATAGCTAGGTACAAACATCATCAATCTTATTGGTGTGAGTGTTGCAGAGTTCTGCAGTTGTTTTGCTGTAGCTTTGTGAACTATGCTGTAACAGGTAAGTAGCTTTGACAGTTGCTCACTGTAGTACTTAAGTCAGTAAGTCACCTTCTAGAATTCAGCAGTAACTTAATCAATGGAACAATGAATTATTAATGGCGAATTTTATAAATCATTTACTATGGTCAGATTCTGTGCTTAGCGCTCTACCTGCCTTATAACAATGCATTTTTAAAAACATTATTGTAACTCAGGTCCTATTATTATTTTCATTTGATATATGGGGAAACAAAATCTAAACAGATTAACTTGCCCAAAGTTACACAACTAAGATGTAAAAAAAAACAAGGTTTTGAATCTAGGCATTTTGAATCCAAATCCCAAAGTCTTAACCACTAAAGAAAATCATCAAGTGTCCCCATTAAGCCACAATTATCTAAATGGTAACTTCATAGTCACTTAATTAGGGCTGATAGGAGTCCTGGTGTGGTACTGTGGGTTAATGCACTGGACTGCAAAGTTGGCTTGAACTGTAAGGTCAGGAGTTCAGACTCACCAGTCGCACCTCTGAAACCCTAAACTGGGTTGCTATGGGTTGGAACTGACTGGACAGCACTAAAAAACAACAACAGTATTACTACTAGACAGGGTAAAACAAAATTCCTTTTGTCTACCACAATCTTTAGTATTTTTACATGTAAAGAAAATGTTAGGCTTCGCTCCCAGGTAGGTATGTTGGTGTTGTAAGTGCCCTCAAGACAATTCCAACTCATAGTGACCTTGTATAGGGTTTCTGAGGAGCGACTGGTTGGTTTCAACCACAGACCTCATAGTTAGCAGATCACTGCTTATCCTACATAGCCACACTAGGTAGTAGGTACTGTTATTATTAAATCCTGCCAAGTCAGTTTTGATTCATAGAGACCCTGTTGTCGGGGTTCCAAGGAACAGCTTCTGGGTTTGAACAGACAACTTTGTGGTTAGCTGTTCAGTGATTATCCTCCAATGGCACACCAGGACTTCATTAATTACATTGATCAGGAAGCTAAAGATGATATTATTTAACAAATTTGGCAACAAATGATTATATTCTTATTAAACCCACTGCTATCGATCAATTCTGATTCATAGTGATCCTTACACAACCAAGAAATTCCATTAAATAACCCCTAAAGAAGTTTCAACTTTCCCTAAAACTTTCCTTTTTATTCTGTTCTCTGTCTCCTATTTTAGGCTTCTTGATCCTGTGAGTCATCCAAAGGCTTGAACAAGTCCAGCCCTGGAGTGCCTCTCTGCCCTTATTTTCACTCCCTCTGTTTTGACAGGGCTTTCATTCACATCCCCAGAGTCTTAGTTATTCTCCAGCAAAGCCCCAGGCAGAGGAAAAGCTTTTCAACCAAACACACTAAAAAATTAGACAATGCCCTTTACTGCACCTCCAATCCTACTGAAGTTCTATAAAGAACAGAAAGCTTCATGTTTTAGGACTTGAGATGTGACAGAATTTGCAACAGCAGCAGGAGCTGGGTGTATGAATGATATATTCCCTATGATCTCCCCCAAACCAATTTGGTTCCAAGTCCCACCCTTCAGTGGATGCTGGCTCTTTGTAGATGGGGGTGGTGGCATTTACTGCTTCATAAAATCATAATGAGTATACATTTCAAACTTGATCGTCTTAAGACAAGGAATAATCAGGGGAATAAAATGGTCTCAGCTGACAGAGTGGGAGAGTGAAGGACCCTTGCTGAGGTTCTTCGTGAATAGATGTATGCATGACTCCAGCAGACCAGGAAAAATGCTGCCTGACTTGACTCAATTTGGTGAGCTACTGGAGTTTCCAGATTACATTGTCCAGTGAAATGCTCACTGAAGGCATTCTAGCTTCTTTTATAGACACATCTCACATGTAGAATAGAGGAACCGCATTAAACACAACAGTGTGATTTGCATGTACCTTTGAAATAAGGTTGATCTAATCCAGGGTGTAGGGAGTGGGAGTATGCACATTGACGTTTGCTCCCCTATGGATTAAAAATACCAGTGAGAGTCTAACTTTTCTGAAACACAAACACAGTGCAAGCAAATCTGCCTTTTCTCCAAAAGTACTTATAACTCCTCGTTTTATTTTGAATTATTTCTATTTTTTTCCTCAATGCCAGCTATGCAGTGTAGTTGTATTGATGGAAAATTTGCATCAAAAAAACAAACCTTTTTTGTGTGTGTGCTGATTATAAGCCTAAAGTGAGGAAGACCAGAGTCTGGTTTGCCTTAAATCCCAATATTGAAAAATCCTCAAAAATAACATCTCACTAAGAACTAGTCTCACATTAGTGGACTGGCAAAGGCATTCGAGCTGAAATTTAGTAGTCAAAATGCAGCAAGTTTTCCAAAGACCCCCCAAAACTTTCCTAATGCTCACTGTCGCCCACATCATGAAATCCTATCGGAATTCCTATCATGAAATCCTATCGGAATTCCTACCATGAAATCCTATCGGAATTCCTATCATGAAATCCTGATTGTTCTGGTTACACTCTCAGATCTAAGGGGCGTATGTGTTGTTAATTTTCACAATAAACTTTTAATCACTTTTATAGGAAGAATATCTTACACTAAAATTTTGTTTTATAAATAGGTAACTCTGAAATTCATATTAGAACTAAATATTAAGGTGTTTCCTGCCTCCCCCTTCCCACTCCCTCATACCCCTCTTTCTACTTGCATTTGTATGTAGATGGGGGTCAGGCAGGTTGCAGCCTGGTTACTCTAGGGCCAGTACCAGCAGTCATTATTTTCCTTGCACTCTCTTGGAGTTAAATTACTCTAAAATAAATAGTCTAAGTGGATTGTATAGTCAGAAAAATTTTCCTTTTGACAAGCAGACCAGCCGGGAGCAGCTAGAAAACCACAAGATACTTCTTGAAAGACGGACCTACAGGAAAAATACAAAACAATAAGGGTAGTCCGACTGTTACCACAAGAACATACAGGTGGCTTGCCCAGGAGACATCAAGGCAACTGGTCAGTGCAAATTCTCTTCCAAGACTAAGATGTAAGGGAAATATACACTTTGATTGACAATCACGCATGTCACCCAGAAGGGGAAGTCACCGAAGAACATCAATGAAGTGGCGAGCTAAGCCCTACATTGTTCAGCAAACTACTGTGAACCCCGCTGGAGACCTGGTCGGCCAGTAGTGAGGCAACATCTGGGGACTCATGGGCTCAGAGTCAATGACACAGCCACAGAAGTCTAGAGTGGAGAGCGGGGTGACCAGTCGTAAAAAGAGGCCAGACAGACGTAAGAACACCCACACTTGCAGATGATGCCCATTTGACTGGACTTCAATGACTGGATAAACAGAGCTCAACCCTAAGAAGAAAGAAGAGGGAGAAAAAAGCATCATCTGATACAATTCGATAAACATGACCTACACCTATAAATGCAGTAGCTCAAAAGAGGAAACAAATTCCTGTTGCAAGAACTATTCCCACCCTCTCCACACAAAGGGTACACAGGGATGGGCAACTTGGACATTGTTGTTGTTGTTGTTATGTGCCGTGGAGTCAGTTCCGACTCATAGCGACCCTGTACAGGGTTTCTGAGGCTGTTAATCTTTATGGGAGCAGAAAGCCTCATCTTTCTCCTGCGGAGCAGCTGGTAGTTTCAAACTGCTGACCTTGAGGTTCGCAGCTCGATTCGTAACCACTACATATTGGCTACCGAAAATGGGGGGAGGGATACAAAGGCAAGAAATGACTGGTTTACAAGCTTTCAAGAGGGAACCTAGATCCAAAGGGCAAGGAGGAAGGTAGAATCTCCAGCGAATAGTGTCCAGCCTGTTCAAGAAGGGCTGATGAAAGGAAATACAGATGGGTCTCTTGTGATGCAATAGTGAATGATTGCTATCAGGACTGATTGTGAGGGTTGGAAATCTAAAGGTGGACATGTTGTAGCAAGGAGAGGAGTGATTAACTTTTCAGTCTAGGAGTGGAGAACCCTGGGACCATGGATGGAGAGGAGTGGAGAGCAGGATCCTACCCAGAGAAGCAGTGAGGCCTGAGATGGAGGCAGAGAAGACGATGTCAAGAGATGGTGGGGCTGAAAACTCAGGATCAGGAGATGGAAAGGAGCTGAGGACTGTGGTGGGGGGTGGGGGTGCAGACTTGCAGGGTACACCCCTTGGTTGGATGAGGATGCATGGACGGGATGGTAACTATGCCCATGAAATGACAGATGATGGAATGAATGTAAAGCTAACATTCTCCCATGTAGACTATCACACAATTCACAATAAAAACATTTAAAAAAACACACCAAATTTTTTTCTTTTATATTTTTCCTGACCCTTTTTGAGCATAATTATGAGCACAACAGTGTGGTGCCATAGAATAGGCACTTGACCCCAAGGTCAGCTTGAACAACAAGGTCAGTAGTTCAAACTCACTAGCCGCTCCTTGGAAACCTTATATAGGATCGCTATGAGGCGGAACCGACTAGATGACACTTAACAATAAAAACAACATGAGCGTACCACTGTTGCTTTCCAGAAACTCCTGCACAGATTCACAGCATCAGGAACCCCATAGGATCTCTATGAATTGGAGTCTACTCCACTGCACTTATCAATAAGTTACTCTCACTTGGTAACAAGTGAAGGTTAATTAATCAATGTTTCACATAAGCAAATCTTAGTAGAAATTCTTCAGTTATTGTTGTTAAGTGCCATAAAGTTAAATCCAAGTCATATCAACCCTGTATAGGGTTTCTGAGGAGCACCTGGTGGATTTGAACCACTATTCCTTGGGGTTTAAACCAGCCTTGCAGCCTAGCAAAAAGAGGCCCTCCCTTGTTTTTCCCTCACCACCTTTCTCAACCCCTTCAGATCACACCTGATTGGAAAATGAAAATCCTTTAACGTCTAGACAGCTTAAGAGTGTCAAGATGCTCATCTCCATGCTCTGCTGTTGTTGTTGTTACGTACCATTGAGTCAGTACCAACCCATAGCAAGTTTATGTACAGAAGAACGAAACACTGCCTGATCCTGGTCTAACCTCACTACTGTTGCCATGCTTGAGTCCATCGATGCTACCACTTGGGCAATCCATCTTTGAGGGTCTTCCTCTATTCCTCTGACCCTCCACCTTACCAAACATGATATCCTTCTCCAGTGACTGGTCCCTCCTGACAATATGTCCAAAGTATGAGAGACGAAGTTTGGCCATCTTGGCTTCCAAGGAGTGCTCTGGTTCCAGGAGCACTTCATGTTTATCAGTGTACAATCCTGACCAGAAGATGTTTGTGAAGGAAATGCACAGACCTGGCTCTGCGTTTCCAGCTCTATTAGCATCAGCCCACCCCAGGGATGCAATAAATTGGCAAAAGTGGAGAAGGTGCTTTGGAAAGCAATCCTTAACACAGTCTCCCTCCTTTATAAAGAAGCCTAGCTCTCTCAGGATCCAATCTGCCTAGTGACGGTGGTACAAGAGGGAATAAGACTAGAAATTGAGACCAGTGTTTTAGTGTTGACTTTCAAGTTTATTATGTATGTGGTCTTTTGCAAGTCTATTAATATCTATAAAACTCATTATGAGGGGGCATCGAAAGGTTCATGGAAAAATTCTATCCTTTGATAATTTAAAGGAATTCCATTTCTCTAAAATGGAAAATTTTTGAGCCCTAGTGTAGTGCTGTGGGTTAATGCACTGGGCTGAAAAGTCAGTTTGAACAACAAGGTCAGCTGTTAAAGCTCACCAGCTACTCCTAGGAAACCTTAGACAGGGTTGCTGTGGGTGGGGATCAAGTTAACAGCACTTAACAACATAAACTTTTGAAGCACCCTTAGATATATTAATATAATTTTATTTGGTGGTGGTTATGTGTGGGGGAGTTGGTTCCGATTCATAGAGACCTTGTATAGAGTTTCCGAGGCTGTAAATCTTTACAGGAGCAGAAAGCCTCATCTTTTTTCTATGGAATGGCTGAGAGTTCCAAACTGCTGACCTTAAGGTTAGCAGTCTGACTCGTAACTGCTATGGTATCAGAACTCCTTATAATAATATACATAAGGAATAAAAATGAATGCTTCACCTGCTGCTGGTAAGGCAGTACATGAGGTGATATTTATAAAAGTGCTTTAAAACCTTGAGTGTCATTGGTTGGTAGAGAGGGGAGGGGAGAAAGAGAAAATCATAAGAATGGACAACTTTTCGGTTAATATGATACAGAGCTTTTTTATATCTTTC